TCAGGCCATCTCATATTTATTCTATTTGTCACTCACTTATTGGCAGCGATTGATTGTGATGTATTATATTTTGCAGATGGTGTTAAAATTTTTTCAAGAATTGATGAGATAAATAATTGCCAACTACTTCAAAGAAATCTGGTTTTATCGAGAACTGGTGTGATGAGAACACCTTGCATCTCAAGGTGCAAAAATGTATATTTCATTCAGTAGAATAAAAAATTCTGAAGGTCAGAGAGTCAACACTTATACAGTTATATTTGATCCTAGGTTGACATTTGCGGAACACCTTGAGCCAAAACCATATGAAGCTCTCAATCTGTAAAATTTTATTGTGCGAAACCGTATGTTTTTCAAATCTCGATGTGATTCGGTTAGTATTCGTGCCAAACTAGAATATGTATCTGTAGTATGGGATCCTTTATATGATTGCTACATCGTTGTATTAGGAAGAGTTGAACGCAAGACTTTGGACGTAATTGACTTTCAAAGTTGATGGGATTTACTCAGAACGATGCATATACTACTTAATTTTATGTAGTAGGTTTGACCAGGATGATTTGTAATTGAGAGGAGGAGAAGATGCATCTCATGTATATTTTTACCACACTTGACATAACGGCATCGACTGCTGCATCGTTCTGGGTCAAATAGATTTTAATGTACTTCGGTGGGACCAATATTACATCTATATGTAGCTGATCACGACAGAAATTTTAGTCGTCGAACATCTATATGGTGCGTAATAATTATAACAAGGTATCTCCTTATTGTGATATTTTCATGTGCACATTGAGGGAGCCCGTGGATCAATATATCTTTAGTTTTCCTTTTGCTTTAAGGCATGTATTATTTATGATTTCTATTAATTTCCCTGTAAATGGATAATTGTTGGGTAACATAGCTACTATTATCTTGCAACTAGTGAATTTTTCTGTTGTATCTGTAACTGCCCATGCCTGTACGCCGTACAGAGAAAACGTAGCATCTTAATACCCTGGTTGTTCTAACTTATTCTCCCACTATTCTTTCTGATAAAAGTGCTTCTTGTTAATCGTTTCTGCTATTCAGGGGTGTTTAAATTCGACCCTCACCAATGGGATTTCAAACCGCTATGAGGGCAAATTTGCGTATTTAGGCAATCGACAAAATGTCGTTTAGAACGTTTAGAAATTAAAAGTTGTACTTCCGGAGAAAAACGAATTTTCCCAAACTTGTTTTAATTTTTTTCTGACTTTATTTATAGTGGGACTTCCTCATTCATTAAGTTTGCTATTGTATGTATACAGGGTGACTTTGAAGTTGAGTCATTAATTTTCAGATAATGATTGTAGAAGGAAGATAAACCAAAATATGTGTGTAAAAATAAAAAAAAAAATTTTACCTTGTTTTATAAAGTATCCTCCCGACAAGTATTTCAGTGCGGACCTGTATTTGATCGTGAGGTCCCCTGTGAGGTCTTAAGTCACCTGATTCACGAGCCCGTTGTACTACATTAACAAAGGCACGAGGGGTTGGTTGCACTCGATTGGGAAACCGATCCGCATAAACATGTGCCATTTTTTATTTCGTTTGAGCCACGCAACATAAACCACTATTCACTGACACTGACTGTATACAAATGAATAAAATAATTGTAAAAACATCGTTCCAAATTCTTTCGCTTTTTTGTTTCCGATGTGATGAACCGATACGGCGGATTATATCCGTTGTCGCCAAACACGAGCACATAATATTATTGTTGAGACAGGGCGGTACTCAAACTTCCAAAGGGCTATAACTTTGTTACTTTAATTTTACCAGAAAAATGGTAAAGGAAAAAAACATTTCTTTTGATCAGATCTACTCACTGTTAAAATAAATGACTCAACTTCGAAGTCACCCTGTATATTTCTCCTCTACAAGATGTCATAATTAGAATTATAATATGACGTTTTGTCTCTTGCCCTTCAGCATCATCATCATCAATGGGCGCCATATTGGATTTTTACACAGATAAATGCAATTTTAATTTAATTTAATTTAAGTTTAAAAATATATGACGTGCCAGGTAGGTCTTGAAATTATCAGATAGTCATTTGTTTCGTATACCGAATTTATCGCAAAATCGCTGTTATTTCCTGGTTTTATTTAAAATGGAATCTTAAAGTATATTGCATTATGCTACATACAGGGTTTGTCCGGAAAGTAATAGGACTGAGTCGATTTAAAAAAAATTATTGAGCCAATCGTTACAATTCTTCAAAAACTTTCAAAATAGGCTCCTCTTCTGCGTCGATGCAGTGCTGCCAGCGCGATTTCCAAGCAATGAAGGCATCACGGAAGGCATTGTCCGGAATAGCCTTGAGAGCTGCGGTGCATGCTGCTTGGATCCCCTCTGTCGTCTCAAAATGCTTGCTTTTCATCGGCCTTTTCAGGCGAGGAAATAAAAAAAAGTCCGGGGGGGCCACATCTGGGCTGTAGGGCGGCTGTGGAAGCCTTGGTCAAATAGCTGTTCACAAGAAAGGCGGTGTGAGCCGGGGCGTTGTCGTGGTGCAACTTCTAGTCGGATGCGATGTCTTGTCGGACCCGACTGATCCTTCGTTTGAGTCTCCTGAGCACATCCACGTAAAACTTGGCATTGACGGTTTGTCCAGGAGGAACAAATTCATGGTGGACGATGCCTTTGATGTCAAAAAAGACAATGCGCATCGTTTTCACTTTGGATTTGCTCATTCTTCCCTTTTGGCGAGGAGACGCCGTCGTGTGCCACTCGGAAGATTGCCTCTTTGTCTCGGGATCATACTCAAGGATCCACGACTCGTGACCTGTGATTACGTTATTCAAAAATTGGGGGTCACTTTCACACATGCTCAAATTTTCTTGGCACACTTCCACTCGCCGCAATTTCTGGTCGTCAGTGAGCACTTTTGGGACCATTTTCGCGCACACCTTGCGCATCTTCAAATGCTGTGTCACAATGTCATGAACAACAGATTTTGGTAAATTTAACATCGGGGTAATTAAACGAATACTTAGTCGACGGTCTGAGTTCAAAACTTTGCGCACACGAGTCACATTATCGGTGTTTGTCGAAGTCGAAAGTCTTCCAGCACGGTCTTCATCAGCGACCTCTTCCCGGCCCTCCAAAAAGGCCTGGTGCCACCGAAACACACCACTTCTTGCTAAAGCAACACCTGGGTAAGCCTGCTTGATCATATCAAACGTCTCTGTCGCAGATTTACCGAGTTTCACACAGAATTTAATCGCGTACCTCTGCTCTAACGAACGCTGCATTTTCGGCTTGCACCACTCACAGAAACACGTCGCGCGAAAATGCCTGTCCTGAGTCTCCAAGTATTCGGAGACAACTGACCAGCCGCTCATTCGTTAGATAGGAACGCCCTCTACCGAATCCAATCGGTGCGCGCACGCTCCGAAGTACAGTCATGGCGGAAGAAAATGATTCCTATTCCTTTCCGGACAAACCCTGTATATGCATTGCAAATTGTTAGATTCTCTCTTGAACGCTTCTGCTTTCGATCTCCATCATCAGCTTTGTTTTCTCTTATGGAAGGCATAGTGAAATTTTGCACAACTGAACAAAATTTTTAAATCTCAATTCAGTTATAAATATAATAAATTCATTTGTTTATGTCACATATCTAATTAAACTAATATATTCTGGGTAGTATTTAAATGAACAAAATTGGTGATGGAAGTCCAAAGAAAAAACCACGTGTTGAAAATTTGACTACACTATCTTGTAGAACAGAAAAAGTGGCATTGAAAACATGCAATTTATTTTGAAATTTCATGTCCCATAAAGACAGGAAAAAAATGATTTAACCATAAACCAGGTACATGAAACAAATGATTATATGATGATTTCAAAGTATACCTAGGCAATTCTATTTTTTGAAATAACTAAGGTGGGCAATGTTCATGTACGATATCATATATTTTTGGAATCAGAATCAAAATATCTATTTATCTATGTAAAAATCCATTATGGCGTCTATTGGAAAAATGAAGTTGAATGCTGGAGGACAAGATACGAAACGTCATATTGAAATTCTAATTATGCCATTTGGTAGAGGAGAAACAGTGGCACAGTTAATGAGCAATTTATTTTGAACGACAAATAAAGTCAGGAAAAAATTAAAACGATTTTGAAAAAATTCGGTTTTTGCGTCTCTCCCCGTCTTTCTAAACGTTCCAAGCGGCATTCCGTTAATTACCTGAATACGCCGTCTTCGGATCTCTTACCGTTTCCGAACTCAATGTTGAGGGTCGAATTTGAAGCACCGAGTTTAATATATGGTAAAATTTTCAGTAGCTCAGGGATTCTGAAAATCGTCCAATTCTAAAACAAATGAGGGAGAAACAGTGCGCCATACTCTTAGTGTGTACGTGCACATACAAGGCGGAATCAAGCGAGGCGTAGCGTTGCGAGCAAGGCGCAAAATACAAACTAGTATAATTCAATGCGATGGTGCATACTGGTAACGAGACGTAGCGAGTCGTAACGAGTCCGCGGCGAACGATCATCTCCAAAACAAATCAGTTTGTCTTTGAGCGTGAAAGATTGCGCATTAAATATGGTGGATATCGAAAAATTAATAAATGAGATATTTTTGCGAACCCCTATATCGGATCAAACAAGTTCTTTACATCATAATCGTGATGTCATATGGAAAATGTGGCAGGAAATAGCAGTTTCTTTTGGAATAACAAGTAAGTAGTAAACACATGTTCACATAATGATATAATTTATAAAACATTATATTGAAACGGTACAGCTCCTTCACTATTGAAATATTACATAAAACAATACCCTATATACCTAGGTGGTTCTGTCAAACTATTATTTTTCCTATTTTTCTTTAAATCTGTGTTTTCTTTTGTGTCTTCTATTATGGCAACACCTTCTTTATCAATAAATCAATAATTATATTATGCAACACACGAATGCAGTTAACAATTTTTTCGGCATTTTTTGGAGATGTTTCTGTTTGCAGCAAGGATTCCGAAGGCACATTCGACAACTATGCAAGAGATAGATGATGTCAGTGAAATTAGAGGGAATTCAGAAATAGAAGGCCAAACTTCAGCTACGGATCAAGAAATTCCGACCGTATCAAACAACAGTAGATATACAAAAAGAAAGAGGGGTGCTGGTATTGACTATGAATTGCTAAACCTAGAAAAAAAGTTGATTCGAATCATCGAAACACAACTAGCTCAATCACAGAATATCCCAAAGTCAAAACCAGCAGATGATTTATATTACTTTTTAATGAGTCTCCATAAACATTTAAATGATCTCCCGATTGATCGACAAATGTTTATTCGGGTTAAAATACGGGAATTACTTTATAGTGGAATTATCAGTGCAAACCAATATCAACAAAATACAACAAATGGTTTAAATGTTCAAAATTCTGCAGTTAACACATTCGTCCCCAGTCAAAGCACTCAGTACATACATCCACCACCTCTATCTTCCGTTTATTCAAATACGTCAGTCTAAAATTTCCTACAATTCAAAAAGAAAACATAACTGCACAGTGGGAGAGTGCCTGCCTTTCTGAAGGAGAGAAAAGAGTGTGGTAATCATGGAGGCCATAAAGGCGTCCTACAATTGTAGGAACGACTGAAGATACGGCCCCGAGTCTTCCTTCATAACTCAGTTCTCCACCTTTGTAAGTGCAGTCAGGCCAGTCCAAATATTCTAAGCTAAAGTCACTTTGTGTGGTGAGAAAAATTCAGAATAGTTACACTAGATACGGTAAGTTCAAACGTTTTAATTAACTAGCAGCATGAGTGTTTACAAAATCATCAGACCCATATCCTAAAAAAGCACAGGGTCAAATACAGAATGGATGGCCGTTTTGTGTTTTTTTTTATAGTCCAACCACCCCGAAGATCTAAGGCCTAAACACCCATGGGGTACTGTGGGGCTATAGGGGGTGTGCTACCCAGAGAGGTTGTTTAGTTCGAGAACTTATACCGTATACCGCAAGGCACGGATATTCTCTCCATGTCTACGCAATTATCACGTTTAGATGGTTGAAAGTGAAAAGTCCAGTCAACTCTTAGTTGACTCAAGTTCCTAACGTCCTTCAAACACAGTAATATTCGCCAGTAGGGCATTCATTCAATTCATAAAGTATATCTCAATTGAGAGCACCTCGTAAATAACAATTTAACAATTAAATAAACTAATGAAATGTGTTCTTATTCTTCTAATTCGAATAGGTAGTTCTGCTTGGCTTGAGCATCATTCCAGCCGCATAATTCAGATTTATTAAAGGAGAACATCAGAGCAACGGTAGGAGCGCAGATAATAAGGAAGAGACTGTTAAACGGCTAAATTAAGTTACCTACTACGTCATATACAGTCATACGCCACACATATACGTACATATCTACCTACTTGGTTTCGGATCAAGTTCATGGGATACGACGGATTCATTTGTCTTCATTAATAGCGGGTTATTTGTTAAGTGAACTAAACGTGCTGCTTTCGACCATTAGACCAAAAGATCGCCATCCATGGACAGTTGTTTCGTGCTCTTTGGCTACTCATCAGCATGGTCTGGCTGGTTTATACAAAACTTGCATAAACATACTCATAATCGTATGAATCGAATTATGCTTATTATGCTTATAACAAGGGCTTAGGCTTATGACTATGATTATGAAAAGTTGTATAAACTTATCAGACATACGCATTTCAACTCTTATATTGTATATTGCTATCACTACGTCTAAAGGTGTTGTATAAACCTGTCGTTAAAATATCCATATGCGTCGGAAGTAACGTCAAAAAGTACTCTGAACCGTATAATCCGATAATCTCAGGGGTTTCACCTCGGATTGAGAGATAATAAGCTGAAAACTGGTAGAAACCTTTATTTTGTCATCCTAAAAGTGGTCCTAGAAGTCTCAGAAAATCACCGTCCCCGCGTCTTATGAAAGCAAAGATCAAATGACACAACAATCGTTTTTGTTTTGCAGATATTCCGCTTCCTATGGATTTTGGGTTTAATGCTAACTGCATTTATTATGAATTTGTAGAGAATACAATTCTGCACATTTTTTTCATACTATTAATCGTTTTTGAGATAGAGGGCGGAGAGCTCGCAGCGCTTAGCCATTTACAGCATAATGCAGGGTCAACCGTTAATCCCGATAAATAATACGTCGTGTTATGTCAATGAATCATACGAAATATATATTCATGCATACTTAGCATTTTTTATTAATTACTTCATTATGTTTTTAATACTTTGCATTCATCAAATATATGTTTATATAAATTATATGCTTATATATAAAAATATAATATATCTACTGTACAGCTTTGCAACATATCAGGGGACTTCAGGCCGCTTCTGTGCCTATAACAATTTTGACTCCGAAATACTTGAATATCTTGAGACAAATATCCTTGATGGCATAAATGATGATAATTAATTAGAAATTTTCGAGCAACCGGAAGACGATGACGAAGACGAAGGAGAAAATTAAGACTCATGTTTCTATTATTAAAGTGTTTGTAAAACCTCCATATATTTGAATTTCAATTGTAATAAATGTAGGAAACAGTATCTATTGCTAACTAAAAATATAATAAAAATTATTTTCCTGAACTTTTTTTCTGACCAGCAATGTAACTAGTATTTATTAGAATATAATAAATCAATGAACAATATTAAATATAATGTAATAATATAAATTTCTAATTTTGAAAAACTATATATTTCTTGTTATTTATCGGGACTAACGGTTGATCTTGCATGAAAATATGTTGGAAACAAGAGCTGTAGAGAATTTTATTTTTCTAGTTTATTCATGATATCGTCGCCCTAATAAGAAAACTACTCAAGTCCAATTCAGTAAAGTTTTCAGGAGAGACGAAAAACTATTTGTAGTCATAATTTTCCATAAGTTTATTGATTTTATACTAGAAACCATTTTAGAATGTTATCATAATTAGGTTAGCAATCCATGTTTCTTATAATACTTATTTTTGCCTGCCTAATATTGGATACAACTAGGGAAATAGGCAAATTTCTATTATTTCAGAAATACACATAAGAAACTTAAAAAAACCATTTATTTCCAGAAAATTAAAAAATGAAATATTTCTTTGGTGTAAAAGAAAACATATCGTCACGTGACTAGCACAAATAAGAATGAGATCCATATCGAAATAAAAATTAAATAATTATTTATTATAAGAACTCAAAGACTAGCTGGACATTTTATTCATGTGGCAGGTTGAGATATAAGTTATGATACTACTGATATATGCTTTTAATGAGTACCATGAGATGTTGGTATTTTTTCTTCTTTATTTTCAATCTACTCTCATAATTATTTATTTATTATTATGCCATTGGGAACATATTTCATAGCCCTTCCGGGTAGGTCACTCCAAAGTTTTTCCGTATGTTGTAATTTGTATTGAATTGATCCATTTTCATATTTCAAAGATTTGATATCAACTACCGATGGATCGCCCGCATGAAATTATGCGAAAAACTAATTTTGTTCTAAAATTATCTCTGTACTTGATTTCACTGTATTTAACTTATATTGACTAACTGCACCAAAAATTAACATGAAAATTATAATTAATAATATTATTTAGACAGTTCTAGTACCTACTATCCTTACAATAAAAATGTACGCAAACAACTTACCTGACATTTATTTCTTGATATTTGATGTGAACGATTGAGTGAAACCGTGGAGAGAGCTAAATTCCCGATTTAAAACAACAGACACTTGATACCCACAAAGCAATGGATTTAGGGTGGATTTCACCAGGGTTGTCAAATTAACAGTCCGTTATACTCCACCTTATAGGGTAACAGTCCGTCAAATACAGCGAATGAGCTTCAACATCCAATCAACAAATTTCAGCAACCAATACCTATGAAATGTTGAAAACAAAATATTGTCAAAGTATGAGATGATAGCTTGTCCTTGAAACATCATCAGCTTATTGAATATTAAGAAATTACATATAATTCAGTCAAAATTTAAAGGAATGTTTGATTTTTGAATAAAATTCATTTTTTAATTACTATTGTTGATTTTTTATCCATGTTTATATTATTTTCTTCAATTGATATGCGATTTTACTGATTTAACATCACCTCCCGAATTTTTTTTCCTATAAACCTCTTGCAGATAGCCATTAAACACCTACTTGATGACAGACTCTCAGCAAATTTAATAGGTATTGCTCGTTTCCAAACATTCATTCACTTACTTGCCGTTCATCAGAACCATTATGGCACTTTAGATTGATATTCCCACAAAACCATTCAGGTTTTTTAATATCCATACATCCATAAAGTTGCATATTTTTCGTTGTTCAGGAACTGCAAATGTAAATTTAAAATTATTTCCATAACGCCCCGAAATAGCTGCGTCGGTACCTCGGGTGATACATCTTGACAGTAGGGTTGTTCGATACGATCCTATATTTAGAAGTATCGATACTTTTGCTTCCCATACCCGATATTTTGGATCGATATTTTTATATACGACACTTCTGTGTATCGATACATTTCACGAGTATCGTCATCTTTCGATCCGGACTGTATCAGAAAGAGTGACTAACTTCAGATTACTTTTATTCTTTGTTTCCTTCCGCTGGACATCGACAACTTTATTCCAATATTTTAGAGTATCGATACTTCCTAAAACGATGAGAATCGATACATAAGGATACCTTTCGTGGATCTAAAAATCCCTAATTTGACAGCTTTTTGTTCTTGTCAACTGAGCTGCAGGGTGCTGTCTTGCCTTTACTATCTTATATTTCGCTAAAATCTTATGACAAATAAAAGCTTCAAATGAAATATTGAAGGAAATGAACGGATATGCATAGAATTTAGAATACAAATTCATATTGCAAATTTCAGATTGTCTATGCATGGACTTGAACCTGATTTTTCGGTATTTTTACAGAAAAGAGAATATTTACCGATAACATCATTCTCACGATTATTCAAAAATAATGTAAATATACTAAGTGACATATAAATCCGAACACCCAGTTTAAATGGTTTTATTTTAATAAAAGTTGGTGAATGTATTTATCTTACTGTAAATAACAAGTGAAAAAATTTTCAGCCTTATCAGTTGGACATTCCGG